TCGGCCCAAGAAGAAAGAAAAAGCAGATTTTCGAACTCAGCTTATCCCGCACGTGCGACACTCTCCCATGCACCTCCTTCCGCTCGTGCATATAAAACAGAATGCACCATTGACAACCCCTTCTTCTCCGCACATGCGGCCTCACGTCCCGCACGTGCGGTTCTGTCTCCCAGCCAAAAAATTTCCTAGCTCGATCCGTGACACCCCAGATCCAACCTCACACCTTCCGCAACAAATGAATAAGAACAAGAATTTTGAGATAAAGTTTTTAAAAACAACGAACCCAACAGTTGATAAGACCTTACATTAAAATCCGACACTCTAACAAGAGTAAACCGAACATAACTCAAAGAGGATGAGGCGAATTACGTATCCGGTCATCATAGGGTAAATTACAAGTACACCCCCTGAGATTTGCTTAAAATTCAGATTGCCCATTGTGATTTGAAAAAATTACAAATACCCCCTTATTAGAATTTTTATTTAACAGAATTAACTAAAAAAATGAAATTCATAATTGCTCTCCTATACAATAATAAAATTACCTAAATTATTAATTGAAACATATTTTTAATATCATTAAAAATTGTTAATTGACTTGATAATTTATTAATAAAAGGAGCGATTTGTAACGAAATTAAAAATCTCAGGGAGTGAAATATAATTTTCAAAACCACAGAAGGCGATTCATATTTTAATCAAACCTCAGGGGGTGTGTTTGTAATTACCCCAGAAAGTAAGTACATTAAATAAAAAATTTCCATTAATTTGCAAGTGCTGGTTTGGATTCGGCGTCACGGCAGGCTTCGGCTTTGATTTGGGTCCACACCCAAGTTTCATCGTTGGTTTCGTCGGCGTTTGACAGCGCTGGTGGAGATGGGACAGTTGGGAAGGAGTCTTGGACTGGCATTGGGCGGCGACTAAGTTGGAATAAACGAACACGATTTCAATTTGTGTTTTTTTTTTTAGAGAGAGAAGATATAAAGGGAACTTGGTAGAGGTGAATTTACCATAGACTCAAAATTGTTGGTGTAAATTGTGGATGGAGTTATTTAAAAAAAAAATTATATTAATCGGATGTTGATAGTTATTTGATTAAATGACATTTGTGTCAACAATTTATTTTAGAAATCATATATGCCGCTAATACATATGTGCTCTAATTAAGTGTTATCAATATCTGATCAATATAATTTTTTATAAGAATGGTGTGCTCAACAAGAGTTATATATTGAACGGTTTAACTCAGAGCAACAACAATGGGCCAACAACATCTTCCAATTCAATTGTTTATTAGAAAAGAGTACATATCTTGAAAAAAATAATCAGGATAACGATAACACAATCTTATGTGAATGAGGTTTTATTTGTTAGTAAAAAATAAAAAAAATAAAAAAAAAACCAATTCACTAAATTTTATCTCTTACTAATTTAAAATTATTATAATGCTTATCACAAATTAAAATTATTTATTGGATTCTCTCACCCAGTATAATTGTTACCTCCATTTTATTGAGGATTTGGACGGAGAGGAGGGTAATAAAGTAAAACTGTATGTTTGACTTTAGCGGCATTAGTGAATTTAGAATTTGTTTGGAAATTAATTATTTTAATTAAATTTTTATAAAAAAAAAACGTGTATAAAAATATAGAGATTAGTAAATTTTTTAGTAATGACTTTTTAACTATTGAAAAATTTTAATATACATCCCCTTAAAAAAGGTATCCTGTGTGCACGCTTAATTATGTCATTTTCTTCTTTAATTATAACTAATTTTTTCACATTATTTTAATTATAACTCATGAATTCTTTAGTTACGTCTTATGTTATATTTAGTTATGACTCGAAAAGTTAAAATTATGTCATTTTCTATTTTAGTTATAAAAGTATGTACCATAAGGGGTGTTTGGGAAGTGAGTTAGCCAAATAGCTCATTAAAAGACAAATTAGATTGAAATGGTCAATAAGACAAAATGTTACATCTAATCCATAATTATTTCATTTTTTCTCTCACAACCATCAAATCAATTAAAAAAAATCCAACTATTTTTCTAAGCACAACTATTTGAATCAAATTAAAATAATAAAAAAATCAAAAAATCAACTAACTTTACTTGGCAAACAAGACCATAGTATTTCCCTTTTAAGTCTTTTTTTTTTGTCACTTCTCAAATTTAAATCGAATTAGATTTTGTCATGTTCATCATTTTTGACTAAGCATTTAGATTTATTAATGGGCCTATTTTAAAGTCAATTTCAGTGATTTCAAATCATTTACTTTTTAGGTTCATTAATTAAAATATCAATAACAAAAATCAAGATAATTTAATCCTAGTAAATATATATTTAAATTATATTTATTTAAAAAAATAAGCATTAAATATAATTTTAAAAATAATTATTCTTTTTTATAATAAAAATATGATTTAATATATATATATATATATATAATATGTATCGATATTAAATTATTTTAATTTTTTATATAAATATTTTTATTGAGGAAATCTTAAAAAGTGAATAGTATGAATTATTAAAGGGCAAAACACCAATAAATAACAAATCTTAATTTGTTAAACCATTTGGTCCTGGCTTTTATTTTATAGACTAATAAGTCCTATTTGAATGTTAATTACATATATACCCATTTATTTAACACGTAATATTTTTTTTATGGAGGGCAAATGTAAGTTTTTACTAATGTTGTCATGACAAAAATACCCAAAAAGCTTACTATAGGCCTTTTTATGATTTCCTTCCTTTCTAAACATCAACAACATTAACTACATCAACAACATCAACTACATCATCAACATCATCAAACATCAACAACGTCATCAAACATCATCAACATCATCATCAACATTATCAAACATCATCAAAACATCAATTACATCATCAAACATTGTGAACATCATCAACATCACCAAACATCAAATACATCATCAAACATTGTGAACATCATCAAACATCAACAACATCAATATCAACTACATCATCATCATCATCAATCATCATCAAAACACCAACAAAACATCATCAACATCATCAAGCTTACTATATCACCAACATTGTGAACATCAAACATCATCAACATTATTCATCAAACATTGTGAACATCAAACATCATCAACATTGATCATCAAACATCATCAACATCAATATTAACTACATCTTCAACATTATTTATCAAACATTGTGAACATCAAACATCATCAAACATTAATCATCAACATTGTGAACATCAAACATCATCGCCATCGCCATGCAAAGGGCTTCGTCGGGGCGGCCCAAGCGGGAAAGGCGAGAGACGAGTGCATCGAAGGCGCTCTTTCTGGTGAAGCCTCTGTCGAGAGAGGCTAGGGTTTGGGAGAGGTCGTCGAGGACGGAGAGGTCGGCCCAAGCGGGAGAGGCGAGATACGAGTGCGTCGAAGGCGCTCTTTTTGGTGAAGCCTCTGTCGAGAGAGGCTAGGGTTTGGGAGAGGTCGGTGGAGATGAAATTGAAGGTATTGGTGGTGTTGAAGAAACCATCTCGTGAACGGTTGTTGAGGAGGCTGATGACGGTGGCGAAGTCCTTTTGGCAGCCAGCGCTGTCGATGAGGTGGTCGTAGAAGGCGGAGCTGGGTTCGTCGGGGAAGGAATTTGGGATTTGAGTGGTGGAGAGATTGAGAGACCTGCAAAATAAAATCAATGAGTAAAAATGTAAATTCCATATACAATGTATCAAAAATATATATCGTATCAAAAATATATATCATACCAAAAATAAAAAGGACTAAATGGTTTAAGAAAAAACACTTAGGGCTAACTTGAGCAACCTTACCAAAATGGGATTTATGAGTAATTTTTCCATTATTAAATCCAACTTGAAAGGATCTAACTCCTTCTAAAATATACACTCAAGTCGGAGAATTAATTCCAAAACCAAAAATAAAAAAAAAAACCCATTTATGGTTGCAGCATCCACAATTTTCAGTTATTGTCGAGATAATTTATATTGAAAATAAAATTCTTTAACTATTTTATTTGATTAGTATTACTGTTCAGTGTGTTTGGTTTTAGTTTTCTGAATTCAGTTTTCTGAAAATCGTGTTTTATATTTTTCATATTTTTTTGTTTTTAGTTAATAGTTTTTAAATTTTAAGTAATTTTTTTTATAACTTTTTTTGATGTATCTTACTTAGATGTATCTACATAGTAAAATATTTGTGAAAAAATATTTTAAAAAATTAATAAATACACAAAAATACAAAAAATGTACAAATTTTCATTTTTTTTTTATTTTTTATTTTTTGGTAATTAATGTATTTTTTAAATATTGTTTTCACAAATATTATACTTTTTAAGTATATTTATGTTAGGTGTGTTTAAGAATTAAAAAAAAAAATTTGGTTAACATATTAAAAAAATTCATTGAAAACATTAAAATACGGAAAACAAAAAAATTTATGTTTTCTGAAAACCAGAATCAAACAAACTGTTATTTCTTTTCTAAATTTTAAACACGGGTTCATGAAATGGAAATATGTGAAATAAAAATATTAGACTCTAAATATTTTATCAAAAAAATTACAAAACTACTCACATAAGTGTAGTGTTTTGATAAATTTTTTACTAGATTATTTTGTATCTCTAAGATTGCTCTATGCAAAAAGGCTATATTGGAAAATGACTTGGTGCAAGAAACTAAATGATGTAAAGGTATTTTTTGGGTAATTCTATTTTCACACACCAAAACATTTCATTCCACATCTTTTCTCAATACACATACCAACTAATTTTGAATTTTGTAATTTTACTCAATGCACAACCCTTTTTGCCAAACATATCATTCTTTTTAACATTGAAACCCTAAACGAACACTCATTTGCAAGTGTTGTTTATTCTCCCTTGCTTTGGTCTTGAAAAGAATTTTCATTATGTATAACTCTGTTATGTCTCTTATTTGTTAATTTTGATGGCTATTATTCGTTGTTTGTTTCCATTTGTGGGAATATAGTTCCCAGTGGGTGAGTTGGAGCCACTACTGCTTTACTCAGCTGCAATTCTTGAATATTTGACAGCAGAAGTGCTTGAGCTAGCTGGAAATGCAAGCAAAGATCTGAAAGTGAAGAGAATGACACCGAGGCAAATGCAGCTGGCTATTAGAAGGGATGAAGAAATTAGGGTTTTGGTGGAGAAGATAAGTACACTTTAGTAATTTTATTTTAGAACAAAACTATAATAAAAAAATAAATCATTAAATGTGTGCACAGAGGTAGGTAAGTGTGTGGAAATATAATTTCTCATATTTTTTAGGAATATTTTGCTAATAAGTTCCATCACATAAACAAATATTTCAATTAAACCCAATTTTTTTTATTGATCTGTTAAGTCCTATTAGTGGAGAGTTTCTTTCGGTGCGATCCTATTTTCAATTTTGGTAGTATTTTGGTGGACGACAATATCTTTTTATTAATGTAACAGGTATGATATGAAACTACAATGTGTCAGATATTAATGTGACGGTCCAACGTGATGGGTATGATGTGACACACCAAAAAACTAAAACTTCCTTAATGTACTTTTCTCAAATGTGACAACGTGGTAGATATGATGTGACACTTTAAATCTTTTACTCAAAAAAACTAAAAATTCCTTATTGTACTATTTTTCAAATGTGACAACGTGGCGGGTAATGATGTAACACTCCAAAAAACATTAAAAACTCATTAGTATACTTTTTCTAAATGTGACAACGTGGCTGGTATGATGTGATACTCCAAAAAAACTAAAACTCATTAGTATACTTTTTCTAAATATAACAACATGGTGGGTATACTGTCATACTCCAAAAAAACTAAAATCTCATTAATGTACTTTTTTTAAAATGTAACAAAGTGGTGGATATGATGTGACACTTGAAAAAAACCAAAAACTCATTAGTGTATTTTTTCCAAACGTGACATGTAACACTCTAATGTGGCGGGTATGATATGACAGTGCAAAAAATTAAAAACTCTTTAGTGTATTTTTTTTCAATGTGACATTCCAACGTAGCGAGTATGATGTGACACTAAAAAACTTCTTAATATACTTTTTTCAAATGTGGCACTCCAATTTGGTGGATAAATGAGTTATTACACATCAAAAAAGAGTAAATGAATTACAAAAAAAAAAGGGATTATAGGAATTGCAATCCAAAATATGAGACTTATTGATCAATCTCCTTATTTCCTAAGGTCAAATGGATAATATCTTCAATATATGATCCGTGCCAAAAGCAATGAGAGAGCTCAATGTAACAGTGTGCTCTCTCTCTCTGTAGAATTCCTCATTTGAGAGGGACAAAAAAAAAACCTTACTAATACAAAGCAGCATATTTATTTTTATTTGGGCAAATTACATATACCCCCTCGAGGTTTAGCTAAATTACAGATACCTCATGAGATTTGAGAAATTATAGATACCCCCTGAAGGTTATATTTTCATAACAAATTAGGGGGTAATTTGTTATGAAAATATAAACCTCGGGGGGCAATTTGTTATGAAAATACAAACCTCAAGGGGGTATCTGTAATTTCTCAAACCTCATGGGGTATCTGTAATTTAGCTAAACCTCGAGAGAGGTATAAGTAATTTGCCCTATTTATTTTTATCTAAACCAACCTTTATTTCAGTCCAAACCTTAGTAGAAGAAACCTTATTACCTTAGTTAACTGGCCTAAAATCCTCTATCTCCAAATCTTCTTGTCCCTTCGTCTCAAAACATCTACATTCATTGAATCAGATTGTGAGATTATCACATTTCAAGATTTTCAATGACCTAATGGTTGTGTTTTGGAACTGAGAGATAGTAGAAAAAATTGGGAACAGAAGATACTTTGCCTAGTTGACTCGCTAATGGTTAACTACTTCGGCACCAAATTAATTGTCTATTTATTCTTCATCAACACAGCTTATTATCAGAGTTTAGAATTCCTCCTGTAGCTGGACCAGTACTCAGCTACAAGCTTAGAAATAAAGAATTGGTCTCCATAAGCTTTGAAGGCTCATCATACTCAACTAGTTTCCCTGCAAAACCATAACATGACACATTTACATTAATAAGCTTCATTTCAATATCCAAACACTGCCATGAAAGACATTTCAACATACTAGTTTAAAATTTAGGCTGCATATAATACTAAAAAATTATTGGTCTAGGGCCTTTCTGTGTGTGTGTTGAAAAAAAGCATATATGTCTAGGAGGGAAAAGAGAAACATTTATGTGAACCTTGATTGTGCAGAATAGAAGCATACCGAAAGAAAGAAAGGACCATGACCATGTCACTGTCTATGACGGTTGGAACTCTGTGAGCCACGGTTATCACCGTGCAATTTGAGAGTTCTACCTTAATGATTCTCTGTAGAGTGGCGTCAGTGTCGAAGTCAATGGAAACGGTTGCTTCATCTAGGACTAGAATTCTGTTTCTTCTAAGGAGGACTACCAAGACAGAAGAGCTGGTGTTGGTGATGGAATAAAGAGTGACCACGCCATAAATTGGTGTGACTCACTTCATTGAAACTTCTCTCATTTGCAGTGTAATAAACCTTCCCGCAAGACATAGAACAATCTGGACGTAATTTGGTGTTTGAATTTAAACACAAAGAGACACAATGTTTCATAGCATTGTATCTATTCCCATACATCATGATAACTCTTGGCAAAGGTTATCAAAGCACTTATAAATAGTTGAAGATGTAGTTCTTATACTTTACTTCAATCAAAACCCAGAAAACAGTATACATATATAAACATTCTGTTTGCTTCCGGATTGGCTATTTTGTCTTGCGTGATAAACACCCTCACGGGCTAATTGATCATTACCATTGTTCATTTTATCTTTCAGTGGTATCAGAGCAAGGTTTAATTGTGTACACAAATGTGAAATTACAGTCTTGAGAATAAGAATTTTCAGAATTTATTTTGTTGAAAATTCAGTGAACAATTTGATAAAACAGTGTTTCACTTTGGTAACTTCCATTCGATTATTCTATCATTCGATTATTCGATAATCCGATTAACCCAATAATACACACGAAGGAAGTTGTTGTGTGTGAAAACGACGGAAGAATAGTTGTCGAAAGTGAATCTAAATACCGTCGGTTAAAGAAGATTTACAAATATTTTTTCGGTTACCAAAGTGAGTCACCAACTTCTCCATATTGTTCATCGTAGAATTTGGAGCGAGGTGGTGAATTCTGCAGTGAAAAAGTTCGAACAATTTGCCCTCAAGTTCTATTTTTCATTTTTGTTCTTCGTCTCTCCTTACCGAAGAAGACAACCGGAATGCTATTTGCTGCTGGTTTGAAAATTTGAAGCAAGAATACATTATTCTCTTGTTTTTGGGCCTACTTCAATTTTGAGTTCTCTTGTCTTTGGGCTTAATTTAATTTTGAGTTCTCACGTTTTTTTTTTTTAGCCTAATTTAATTTTGAGTTCTCTTGTCTTTGGGCTTAATTTAATTTTGAGTTCTCATATTTTTTGGGCCTAATTTAATTTTGAGTTATCTTGCTTTTGGGCCTGTTTCAAAGCCAAGCCTAGCCCAAGGATTAAAGCAAGGCCACAAAATATTTAAAACCCCTCTTGGAAAAGAAGTTGCTTTTCACTAAACATACATTATTATTATTATTATTATTATTATTATTATTATTATTATTTTAATAATCTTGGGTCCACAATTGTATTTTATTTTATTTTATATTAATTAATAGTATACATTTGTTTAAATGACAATTAAAAATACAATGGATTCTTCAAGGATCGAAATGCTTAATGGAATAATTTCCGAGCATGGAAACGCCACATTTCTTATCTTCTTACATATGAGAAAACATTGCATACTTTATCCACTTCTAAACCAGATGATGATTCTAATTGGTTCCAAAACAAATGGATAGAAGATGACGCAATGGCAAAAGCAATTATGTTACATAATATGAAAGATAATATTATTTCGCTCTTTGAAGAACATGAAACTGCCAGACAACTAATGGAAGCACTAGAAAGTAAGTATGGAGTTCGATCGGATACTCAAATTCAATTGCTTTTGGACAAATATAATAATACTCGTATGAGTGACAATGATATTTTTTTGGTAAAATAAAATCCATAATTCAAAATTAAACTGGTTTGGTTTTACTGTACATCCAAACATGGCCCTTCCCGAAATAAACCAGTTTGGTATTATTGCACACCCAAACAGGGCCCTTCCCGTTTTGTTATCTGTTTGAAATATAACCCAACAGATTCAAATCTGTTTGAATTCAAAACTAACCGGTTTCATACCTGTTCAATTCAAAACCAATTGTCTTTGGGCTTAATTTAATTTTGAGTTCTCATATTTTTTGGGCCTAATTTAATTTTGAGTTATCTTGCTTTTGGGCCTGTTTCAAAGCCAAGCCTAGCCCAAGGATTAAAGCAAGGCCACAAAATATTTAAAACCCCTCTTGGAAAAGAAGTTGCTTTTCACTAAACATACATTATTATTATTATTATTATTATTATTATTATTATTATTATTATTATTATTATTATAATCTTGGGTCCACAATTGTATTTTATTTTATTTTATATTAATTAATAGTATACATTTGTTTTTAATGACAATTAAAAATACCATGGATTCTTCAAGGATCGAAATGCTTAATGGAATAATTTCCGAGCATGGAAACGCCACATTTCTTATCTTCTTACATATGAGAAAACATTGCATACTTTATCCACTTCTAAACCAGATGATGATTCTAATTGGTTCCAAAACAAATGGATAGAAGATGACGCAATGGCAAAAGCAATTATGTTACATAATATGAAAGATAATATTATTCCGCTCTTTGAAGAACATGAAACTGCCAGACAACTAATGGAAGCACTAGAAAGTAAGTATGGAGTTCGATCGGATACTCAAATTCAATTGCTCTTGGACAAATATAATAATACTCGTATGAGTGACAATGATAGTGTTGGTGATCATGTTAATCAAATGTAATTAATTGCTAAAGAATTATCCAACGCTGATCACTCTTTGTCGGACAAGATGCAAGTAACTATTATACTTAATAGTCTTCCATTATCTCGGGATCATGTTATCACATCTTTAACTCATAGCGGACGAGAGATTTCAATGATCACATTGCCTGTACTCTTAGTTTTAGAAGAAGAAAGAATGAAGC